CCGGGGGCCGGCCCGCCCGCCCCCCCGCGGAGGGCGGCGGCGGGGGGCGGAGGCCGCGCCCGGCGCCCCCGCGGGTGCCTCGGGCGGCAACCAGCAAACGGACGAAAGCAGATGGCGATGGCGACGGCGACGGCGCCGCGCTCGGAAGAGAGCGGCCTGCGCACCGCGAGGTTTACGAAAGCGGCGTGCAGCTCTGCTTCCGTCTCAGCCCAGACCCCGGGCCGGAGCGCTTGCTTTGGAGAGAGGACCAACGGGAGGGAAGCAGGCGCCCTCCTCCCCGACCAGGCTCTGACTTCATCTGTGACGATGGGCGGGGCTAAATGGCAGAGCCTTTCCAAAGAAAAAATGCAGAGAAATTGAGGGCAGATCTTCCTCAAATTCGAGAGAACTCGGGCTACTTTATATATAGCGCTGCCCTTCCTCGCAGCCTGACTCGGCCTCGTGTTTACTTCCTTTGGGGCATCTAATTGCAGCCTTTGTGGGACGCGGCGCTGATCTCAAAAAAGCTTTCCTTCGTCTTCCTTTTACTTTACTGGCAAAGAAACAACGAACAGGGACGTGGGTTTGGGAAATGAATGGAAAGGTTTTGAAATTGGAAAAGAAAGATACCATATGTTTTTCTCTCCCCTGTGTAAATTGGAAGGAACAGGGTGGGTTTATAATAAAGGACTTCATTTGCTTTTTGGAGAACATCTGTCTACCTACCATGATCACACAGTTGTACTTTGCTATGCAAGGATCCTGCAGAAAAGTTTTTTAACCTATCTTAGTTAAACATTTTCTAACAGGACTTAAAGTCCTTTAATTGGTTTGATTTAAATTTAGAACATTTGGTATTAATTCATGTTTGGTAACAGATAAGAAGACAGTTTTTCAGTTGGTTCTGAAATTGTTACAAAACTTGAACACAAGGCTGTGTCTAAAACAGAAAACAGGTTTGGTTTTGAATCTGGAACAAGCCACTGCATTCCAGAAGCTCTGTCAAACTGTTTAGGATATGCAACAATTTTGTTCTGTAAGTGGTCCCAAACATCCAAAATGCTTACATTTTGATTCAGCCATGAACTACCCCAAACTAGCTGTTCTGTGCATGAAATGGTACGTGCATAGAATGTTTTGCGCATCCTCAATCATAAACTGACTATCTTGATGCCAAAATTGCACATTACAAAGCTGCATACATGCACTATGCCTCAAACCATTATGATACGGAAATAAAAAACAACTTTGTTTTATGCTCAGGCAAAAACGAGGAAACCACATCTCTAGATAGCCTAAAGCGGTGTTTCTTAGAAGTATGGTCCTAGGACCCTTAGGAGTCCCCAAGACCCTCTCAGGGGACCTGGAAATCAAAATTATTTGCCAGATATTGAAGATGTTTGTGAAATATTAAAACAATGACACTCTTCTAATTTTTTATTTGTTAAAAAATAATAGTTTTTTTCATGAAACTTATTTATGTTAATATCTAAGGTTTAATATAGTTATTTTTACATCATTCAATAAATAAATATTTATTTATATTTATTATTTATATATTATCAATTTTAATTTTTAATATGGTAATTATTGATAAATATAACCCATACAAACAAAAACTCTTTTGGAGTCCTCCATAATTTTTAAAAGTGGGAAGGGGTCCTGAGAGCAAAAGGTTTAAGAAACACTGTCCCAAAGACTGCCTTAGCACAGTTGGTCTTGGAACCAAAGGGGAGGCAAGGCTTGATTTGATCCTAAATAGTAACCACCATGATCTGATGCAAAATACAGAGCACCATAAAAGAGGGGGGATGACAAAAAGAGAATCGCGCTGTGGCAACACAGACTCAGCCCCTTTTTTATGGGATGGAGCTTAGTTTGCTCTTTTGCTTGTTTTTTCATTGGGACAAAGCCCTGAGATTCTTTGGTCGCCATTGACAGGGGTGTGGAACTAATAGGGAACAGTGGCCTTAAAGTTATTACATGTAGTATATGTGCCAATGGAAAACTACCAGCAGAGTCCAGAATCACATTTGACTGCACAATAAAAAAGTTCTAAAAAAATGAGGGACTGGTAAAAAAGGGACTGAAAGAAAAAATTAAGCTCAGTTCTCTTCATAATGCCTAGAAGTTTCTTTAAAATCACAACTGAAATTCAACTAGAATGTATTCCACATTATAAAAAAGAGTCAACCAGGTCCAAGAAGAGACCACCGTGGTTTGGGATCGTGGGGTAAGGCTAGTTGTATGGGAGAATTCATGGAGTTACGCTGGAGAAAGAAGGGAATCCTTGAGTGTGGAGTGTGTTCATTATGTGTCTTCAGACTGAATAACAGAAAAGAACTATGAACCTACCGTGTAGTCTGGCTGTTGTATAACATGGCTTTTCATTAGTATCCAGGAAGCTGTAAAAATTAAGACTTCCTTTGGGAAATGGAAAGCCCATTCTACCAGGAGAACAAAAAAAACAAAAAAAACCCACTTACTCTGGCACAAACAAATGTTTAAGTTGATAATAAGGAATTATTATTGTTGGTCACACAGTCAGCCAGGTATTTAGACTGGATTTGCCACTTTTATCCACCTATCGAGACCTTCCCAAGGACCTGGGATAGGCAGATGTTGTTGTTTGATGATGCTAAAGGTATCGTTGCAGGTAGAGCTGCCTTTTGCAGTTGACTGATGGTGATTTTGTCAATGCCGATGGTCTTCAAGTGGCACCCCGGATGTTTTGGGATTGCACTCAAGGTGCCTATTACTATTGGTACTATCTTTGCTTTCTTTTGCCACAGTCGTTCTTTTTTTTTCTTTTTTTTTTGCAGGTCTTCATATTTTGTGATTTTCTCCAGTTCTTTCTCTTCCACTCTGCTGTCTCCAGGTATTGCAGTGTCTACTATCCAGACTTTTTTTTGTCTTTCTTATCAACAATTGGGTGTTGTGTGACAGGTGCTTGTCTGCTGAATTCTAAAGTCCCAGAGCACTTTAGCTTCTTCATTTTCTATTACTTTGTCTGTTTTGTGGTCCCACCAGTTCTTGCTTGCAGGCTAATGCTATTCCTTGCAGATATTCTTCACTTGGTCTTTCTTATAGGCCAGTTTGGGTGTGACAGGTGCTTGTCTGCTGAATTCTAAAGTCCCAGAGCACTTTAGCTTCTTCATTTTCTATTACTTTGTCTGTTTTGTGGTCCCACCAGTTCTTGCTTGCAGGCTAATGCTATTCCTTGCAGATATTCTTCACTTGGTCTTTCTTATAGGCCAGTTTGGTCTCTTTGGAATTCAGTAAGTAATCATGGTATACTAGCTTCAGTGCATCTTCTTCACTGTCCTTCAGATATTCTTCCAATTTCCTTTTTTCTTCTTCATCTGTCTGGTGTACTTGCAACATTCCACACCCACCTATGCTCCTTGGTAAGTAGAATCTGTCAGCATCACTGCGTGGATGAAGGGCATGATTCATTGTCATTATTTTTCTGGTCTTCCTATCCAAGGCTTCCAGATACATGCTGACAGTCTGGCCCAAACTACATCCATTATGTTACAAAATGTGCCAAATAATTGAGGAGGGCAAATGTATTTATCCTCAAAAAGATAAAGCAATAGGCTCCAGGAAACTACAGACCAGGCAATGACAATCTAACATAGATCACTGGAAAGTTTTCAGAGTAGAATATAAATCAATATTTCTATAATCACTTTGAAAATAATGTCTCCTAAAGTGGGAGACTTTACTTGTAGTCACTCATGCTTTAGTTACCTCTCAGTTGGATTATTGTAATGTGCTTTACATGGGGCTGCCCTTGAGGAGCATTCAGAAGCTATGGCTGTTCCAGAACACAGCAGCCTGAGGAGTTATGGGTGCATTTCAGTACACACATGTAGCATCTCTACTTCAAGAGCTTCACTGGTTAACTAAAGTTCAAGGTCCTGGTTGTCAGCTTTAACGCTTTTCATGGTTCAGGCCTAGTTTTCTGGAGGACTGCCTTCTCCTCATAACATCTGCTCGCCCGATAAGATTGAGTAGGACAGATTCGCACCAGGTTTCTTCCTTCAGAGGCTACCATCTGCAAGGACTGTGGAAATGTGCCTTTTCAGTTGCAGCCTCCTCCTGTAAAATACCTCCTCTAGAATAACCCAGACGTCTGAATGATCCCTTCCCTTATGGCTTTTAAACAGTCTATAAATACATCACCATTTCATCAGACTAATGGGACCAGAATAATAATTTGGGGCCATTGATCGCTATAATCCTGGTTTTGTACATGTTTTATGGATTGTTGGATTATTATTGCTTATATTGTTTATATTATTCATTTTAAGTTAAGAAAGTAGGAATTGCATGCTGATCAGGGTAGGTTTTGGAGTGGCTTATAAGCCACAAAATAATAAAATAAAATAAAATAAAATAAAATAAAATAAAATAAAATAGCTCTCAAGCTAGCTGGTGTCATCCTATCAGGTCTAGAGCTAATTTTGAAAAGGGATAAAACCTTTGTGTGGAGATGCACTCAGATAAAATAAAATGGGTTCAGAGAAAGGCAACATAGGAATGGAAATTATATCCAAAAGCAAAGTTGATATGCTTAGAATTGAGGGGAACTACAGTACACCCTAGTACCTGAACTGACATCACATAGAAGACCTGTTGTCTATTACCACAGAACAAAGGATGCCTTAGTTATGGGAAGAGAGATTTTGGATGAATGTTGGGAAGAACATCTTAATGCAGAATTTTGACAATGGAAATCATTGTGTAGAGATGCAGTGAAATCCCTTTTCTGGATGTGTTGAAG